GGAGGAGCAGGAGGAGCAGGAGGAGCAGGAGCAGGAGCAGGAGGAGCAGGAGGAGCAGGAGGAGCAGGAGGAGCAGGAGGAGGAGCAGGAGCAGGAGCAGGAGCAGCAGGAAGAGAGGAGGAGGAGGAGGAAGAGCACCTTCCGTATGCAGAAATGGTCTCGAAACTCAAGCTCACGAAGCCCTGGCCTTGATTTCAGCGAGCTGGGAGCAGGGAGCGAGTGGTCGAGGAGGCGGGGAAGAGATACCTGCTGCTGCTTTCTGAACTCCAGCAGCTTGTCTGCGGCCGACACCTGGGGGAGGGGAGGAGGGAGGAGTGAGGAGGAGTTTGGTGGAGGTACAGAAGTCGAACCTCTGTCAGATGTACGTTATCCTCCATCGCCTTCTCTATCCAACAAAGAAAGTTCACCATGGCAGCGGCGTCCTGAAGAAACGTCAGAGAGAGGAGAAGAGGAGAGGAGAGAGAGAGAGAGATACAGGAGGAGAGAAGGAATGAGAAGGATAATGGAGTAGGGAGAAAATCCAGTGGGACAAGACTATGCAAAATGAAAGCAGAAGAGTGGAGCCAAAAGAAGGGGGTTGAGGTTGAGGACGAGGACGAGGACGAGGACGAGGACGAGGTGCAAAAGGAGAAAACACAAAGAGCAGGAGGAGATGAGAGAGGAGGAGGAGGAGGAGATGAAAAAAGGACAGGAGCAGAAGCAGGAGGAGCAGGAGCAAGAGCAGGGGGTGGAGAAGGAGGGAGCAACTCAACCTTGAGGTGCGCATCACGGAACCCTTGCAGCTCCTCCTCCGTCTTGATCGCCTTCAAGGTGCACACAGGCGAGAGTTGTGTAATGACCTGAGGAAGAGACTTGAGGGCAGGACCACTCCCTTCCCCTCCCTCCCTTCCATCCTCACTCTCCCCCCCTTCTTTCTCCTCTCTCTTCTTCCTCTCCTTTCCTGCCCTCCTCTCCCCCCCTCCCTTCCCACCCTCCCTCTCCCTCCTCCCCTCCCATCCCCTCCTCTCCCCTCTTCCCTCCTCTCCCGTCCCCTCCCCTCCCCTCCTCACTCCACTCCACTCCACTCCTCTCCTCTCCTCTCCTCTCCTCTCCTCTCCTCTCCTCTCCTCTCCTCTCCTCTCCCTTCTTCCTCTCCCTCCCTCTTTGCCCATCCCTTCCACCCACCTTGCACTGCTCTACCATCTCCTCCTTCGTCTCCGGCGTGAGGATCATGTAGACCTTCCACGAGCACTTGGCAGGGTCAACGAGGACGCTGCCGCAGCCCTTGGCGAGGAGGACGAGGTGCTCTGAACAACTCCTCACATGAAACTTCCTGCAGCAGGAAGAGCATGCACCTTCCAACGACGAGTAGGAGAAGATCGATACCCCGTCATCCTGCAAGGATGCACGCAGACTTTCGTCCACCTTCTCCTCATCCACGAACCTGCGAGCTAAGTCAGGTCCTCGTCCTCCCATCCCAACGTCCTCGCCCACCACTTGGTCTCCTCCATAGTGAGGATGACGTAGGAGACGACGAACGGGTTGTAAGGGATGTCGTCACCCCTCACGTTGAGCAGCCAGGCGACTTCGTCGAGTGAGGAGATGACCATGGCCGAGGCGCCGAGCTGTGAACAGTCAGAAGAACAGCAACACTGTGATTGTTGTATAGGTGATACTTGTCGTCGTCATCATCACCGCCATCATCTCCATCATCATCATCATCATCATCATCGCCATCGTCAATCATCTCCATTATCATCATCATCATCATCATCATCATCGTCATCGTCGTCATTATCATCATCATCATCATCATCATCATCATCATCATCATCATCATCATCTCCATCATCATCATCTCCATCATCATCATCATCATCATCATAACAAGACAAGCTAACCTCCCTTAGCTCCTTCCTCGTCCTCTCCAGCTTCTCCTTCGTGCTGCTTCCTGAAAGTCTGACCGGGTGCGCAAACGCTTTCCCCTTGGGAGGACGAGGTCGACTATCCCACAGCTCATCCACCAAGTTGTTCGTCAGCGGAACAAGCACGTGCTCCCTGCTGCTCAGTTTGTCCTGCAGCGTCTGGTAGGTAGCAAGCGGCAGCAGCCATGGATCTGCTCCGATCCTCGAGCCCTGCGGAAGCTCTGCCGCCGCGTGCTCCGCCATGGACGCTTGCCGCGGCAGGCTGTGCATGACAGTCCACACGCTGGTATCGAGCTGCTGGCTGGCCTGCAGGAGGTAACGAGAGTCTGTCCACAGCCATGCTCCCTCCATGCCGACGAAGGCGGTGCCTGCAGAGCCGGAGAAGCCGGAGATGAACTGCCTCCTCCTCTCGCTCTCCCCGACGTACTCGCTCTGGTGGCGTCCTCGGAGTTGACGATAAGCGCGTCTAGTCCATGCTCCTTCATCTTCTCCCGCAGCAGCGAAAGCTTCGCTGCGCTTGTAGTCGCCATGGCACTCTGCCATCCCAGCGATCAGCTCCCTTCCTCCGGGAGTTCTCCCATCCCTCCTCCACCCTCCCTCCCCTCCCTCCCTCCCTCCCTCCCTCCCTCCCTCCT